TGGCACTCTATCCAGGGGGATAGCTTGAGGCTCTGTCTCAAAAAAAAAAAAAAAGCAAAATAGTATTTCTATCACAGAACATTCCAGCAGAGTCAGAGAGGGTCCTGTAATCAAACATGGTAGTGTTTCTGCAACTAAGTATACAAATGTTTACTCCTGGTTGGATAAACGATGATTACAAATAGCACCACGTCAGCTCAGGTTTGGTTTGGCTGCTAAATTAGTCCACCCAAACTCAGGAAAAATCTATTTATGAAGCTTTTTGGATTCCAGAAGAGGCAAACATGTGTATATGAATTATTATCTGCATTTTGCATACTAGGAAACTAAGGCTCGGACAGACCAATCTGCCAAAGATCCCACCGTCACCAAATTACAGAGCTTGCATTCAGGTGGTCTAATTCTGGATCTCTTCATCTCCACACCATGTTGCCATCTAAGAGAAGAAGAAGGAAAAGAACAGAAAGAAGAAAGTGGCAACTGAGAGGGCAGGAAAAAAGAACATTTCCCTGCTCCTGGGCAAAGGCTGAAGCCCAGGACATCACCACAGCTGCTAAGCCCCTGATTCACAGCACTTTACAAACAGTGATTTCATTACTTTATGAAGTAATGAAATACTTTATATTACTTTGTATCAGCCCTGTGATGTGGGTGCTATCCTCATTTTAGGAGGAAGCTCAGAGAAAACCAAGTCACTTGCTCAGGATCACTTGACACACACATACTTAAAAATTAATTCCCAGGAACAGAAAACAGAAGTAGTGGGTCATAGGATATGTTCATTTCAGATATTTAGATATACATTGCCAAACGACTTTCCAGAAAGATTATACTGATCTATACTCCAACTGATAGATAAAATGAGGCCCAGATCAAAACACACAAGATCAAATGTATCAAACACACCAAGGAAGTTTATTTTACCTTTGAGTGAAAGCAGGATGAAATCTAAAGAGATGTCAGCAGTCGTAAGTAGGGAGGCAGTTCTATGTACGGCAGACTGAAGAGCAGCTGGCTTTACAGACAAGTCTTTCTTATCAGGGCACCAAAGATATGCAGCTCATTATTGGACTGCCGTGTCAGCATATTTCGTATGGGTTTGTAACTGGGTAGGTATAAGGAGGCAATGAGCTGTGGCATGTCTCTCTTATCTGAATTATGTCTACCTGTAACTCAGTCTCATAGAATGGTTTTTTCAAATCTAAGATGGAGTTAGCTTGACCAAACTAATACAACCAGCTTATATGTGACTGCCTCCTGTCAGCATACCTGCCAACGCTTGGTGTTACCTTTTCACTGTTTACTAGAACGCTGGAATGGAAGAGAGAAGATAGCTTCACAGGGTGAAGTGAAGTGCTGCAGTGTCTGAAAACCTGAGAGAAGACACGTCTGGAGACAAATCCCCCAGAACGTTCTTCATCCTGCAAGTCTTGCTTTTAGACAATACCTGCCAGAGCAGGAAGTGTTTGCAGTCTGTTTAGTGCTTGAACCAGTTGCTTTGTAAAAATGTGCAAGTTGCTGTGAAGAGCCCCCAACCTCAGACAGTGGGTCCTGTTAAATACACCCTCAGTGACAAAGCAGCTCCAAGGGAGGGAGAGGAGCAGCCCAGTGTGCTAATGAGGAGAGGCTGACCTGGGTGGCGCCTGTGGATCGAAGGAGTAGGGCTCCGGCCCCATATGCTGGAGTTGGCGAGTTCAAAACCCAGCCCTGGCCAAAAACTGCAAAGAGGCTAGCCTGCAGGGCATTTGCTGGGGGAATCCAATCATGAGATTATTCCCAAAAACGTTTTCCAAAGGTGCCATAAATAGGTAACGACTTCTTAGTAAATGCAAAAGAAAGGCATGTTTTCTCACACAGTTGGAACACTGGGTCTCTTGCTGGTAATGGTGGGTTGTTTCTTTTTCTTGTCTGATTGCATGCAGGAAGCAGGTCTTGGCAGCTGCCTCAGGCAGTATCTGGAATGCCGAGAACCTGAAGGCTGCTGCACCCTCTGCTCTCCCAAGGTCATCTAGACATCAAACAGCACTGCATAGAAAACATGAGCTGCACAAGAGTGTGTATGAGAAAGTGTGTGCTGGTGGCAGGCGATGGCAGCTGGACCAAGCAGAAGGGATGGGAATAAGAAGAACTTGTCAAGGGTAGTGGGTGCACTGAGTCAGCAATTAGGCTTATAAAATCTTTCTTGAATATTAAAGAAATCAGCCATACCTCTTCCTCTTTGGAAAAAGAAATACAGAAAAGAGTAGAGACTAATCAAACACATGCCTTGAAATTACCAAATACTATCATTTCATCATGTGGGCTTCGTATTTGTATATCATGAGGTAAATAAAAACTGCTGGTATTTAAAGGTCCTTTGTTTTCCTCCCTAACCTGCCCACTTCCTTCTCGTCCCACTTTTCCTTCTTACTCTTTTAACACACATATTCATAAACGTATGTTATTGTTTTGTGTAAGTTGATACTCCTTCAATTTGCTTTATTCATTCAGCCAGGGTCCCAGAATCGTCGACTGGACTGTGCACTGCACAGTTCCTGAGGGCTCCATCCACGGAGTACTACGAGAAAGAGGCTCCTAGGGGTGGGGGTCGTAGAAACGCAGTCCTGCACTCTAGACTGTTTTTGAGCTAAATGTGGGTGCGTTATAGATATTGCATTCATTTTAATTTCCCTATAGCTCTCATTGTGTGACTGTGTCACAGTTAATGACTCATTTCCTTGGAGAAGGCATTTTACTGTCACCAACAGTGCTCAGTGAATGTCCTTACGTGTATCTTTCATGTACTGATGCACCTGTTTCTCTGGGGAATCTGTCTTTATTCTGAGTTGATAATGATTTTTAAAAAATATTCTACTGAACATCATGATAAGAAAAAGACAAGCTTGGTAGAGTTTAAAATATTTATTAGTATAAATCAGTGTGTGTTAAATCAAAAATAACAGATACAATTGGGCATTGCTGGGAGAAATGCTTTCCTACAGGGAGAATACAAGGTGGGAAGTTCTAGCTGTCTGCAGCAGTGTCTTTTATGTGCAAGAACTGGGTCCAGCCCAGACAGAAGCCCTTTACAAAAACAGGAGAAAAGGGAACAGTTTGCACAACGGAGCAGCACCATGGGATAACTGGGTGTGACTTCCACAATGATGTTAGAAAAGTAAACTTGACACCTGATAGGTCTGAATGCATTTAGGAGCCCGTTAGTTCCTAAGCTAGCTCATCACTGGACTTGCCAAGAGCCTCGCAGAGCAGGGAAAAGCGAAACTCACCATAAATTAAAAAAAAGCTCAATTTCTGCCATTACATGCCCAAGTGCTTGATTGTAAAAGAAATATTTCAGCTGTCAAAACGTCCCTCAGAAAATGAACTCAGTTTTCACAGGGGCACAGCCCTTATAGCTGGGTGAAAGTTAGTTTTAGATCTTCAACCTTTCAGTCTGCAAGGTAACGTCATATTCAGCACCTTTATGTACCGTTTTTACCATAACATGGCAAGTCAATTATGTACATACGTACATAAGATGTTTGCACAACTCCATTCTTAGAGATTACCACTGGGAAATCACCCATCCAAGAATCCATGCCTACTTATGTAACACACAGCCATGAGCTAAACTCAGCCAATGAAATGGATTACGTGCCAGCACAACAACTATACCGTCATATTTACACATGTACATACAGGAAAGAAAACGGGGGAGAAGGAGCAAACGTGAGGAAATGATGCCAAGGATGCTACATCACAGGAAACTACTTGCCATTTCCAGGTCTTTACATAATATTACGAGGTTATGGTTCAATTATTAGAACAGCCACAAAGTAATTCCAAGCTAAAAATAAAGCAAAGTAGGAAAACCTCATTGTGGACAAGGCCTGAGCATCTATCTTGAGAGCAGACTCAATGTCTATGTGACTACTTGCATGCTCAAGTGGGATCGAGCCTCTTTGCTGATTTGCTCTAAGTGGTCATGATACATACATGTATTTTTTGTCCTCTGACTGGCTTGAATACTGGCAATACTGAAAGGGAAAAGAGTGGCTTCACACCCTGGTGTGCTTCTGAAATGAGGGCTTGTTAGTAGGTAGCTCACTACACATTGTTAAGACTAGACATTTTAGGCAAAGTACAACCCTACAAACCAGGGAAGGAAGCGGGGACTACTCTCTGCAGGGTGCTTACCATTTTAGCTAGGAAACCTGAGCAGCTGTCTAGAGATAAACCTTGGTTCTCAGGGAAAGCTGGAAGAGGAAAGGTTAAAAAATATGTCTAAGTGTAACTTGGACAGAGGTCACTTCAATTTTCAACTCAAATTATTTTTTACCTTTGCAAGAGGTATGATAATTTCTTGGCCTGCAAGCAAAATCCGTGTCAAGCCAATAATGTGGGCAAGGTGGAAAAAAAACCTAAAAATCCTTGCAAAGGCCCTGCTAGGACATCCAAATGTTGCTTGCTAGCAGGTTTTCATGTTATCTGCCTTGTGAAACTTTTGAAACAAAATAAAGTTTTTCCAGCCTTCACATTCTAAAATTGTCAATCAACTCTCTTAAGTTGGGTAAGAACATCAATTTGACCGCACATTTTTGCGTTGAAAGAAATGAATCTGTGATTTCAGCCTGTCCCTGATTCCTTGATTACAGTCAACATAAAGAAAGTGTAAGCTCAGCCCTGGTCCCTCCAGACCTTGACTCTGTCTTTTGCCTGTCAAGAGCCTGGTGGGCACAGTCACAACAGGACTCTACAGCCCCAGCTTAGGAGCTCTTTTCTGACTTTCACTTTGTAGGTTGTGATGAAGGTTGTTGGCTGTTGAATGTTCATGGCAAAGAAAGTGCCAGCCAGACCTTGTTTGCACGCTGCTGATCAGCCATTTCTGAGCATTGGTCCTAATACCCTTTAACTCTTTCTGATCCTATGTCAGAACTTATCCAACATAATGATTGTTTTTATTTATAACAAAAATAATTATTTTATGTAACCTAAAATGGATAATAAAATCATCAGGTGCATTCATATTTATGTTTTTCTCTTTAAAAACTGTAGGATAATTACAATACATCAACCTTTTTCCTGCCCAAAATAAATAGGGGCTGAGGAGTATTTGGGAGGCAGAAAAATTGGATTGGGAAAGGTTAAGAATCACTTCCCAGTATGGGCCTTGACAGGAGACCAAATGCTTCTTGATTCCAAGTTTATATGAACGTTAGAATGGTAATAAGGTTTGAATTTTCAATGGGAATCGCTTTTCTTCCCTTCTGTGCCTTTTCTTTCTTTACTTGGATTCAGAGAATCTGAAAAGGAAGGTTTTCATTGGTGCCTATTCTCCGTTCACTGGCACTCCAGGCTTGGACCTCTGATTAGCCTGACTACCCTACTCCCCAAGCGTGGCAACATTTAAAATGCTTTCTCTGATTTTATAGTTTGGGGGTATAGAATTTTAAGATGCTAATGCTTCCTCTGGCTGGTTTTACTATAACTTATTATTAATTGCTATTATTAGAAAGTTTGCCATATGATTTAGAGTTAAATTTAATTCCAGCGGGCAGCGCCTGTGGCTCAAACCGGGCCCCGGCCAAAAACTGCAACAACAACAAAAAAAACTTAATTCCAACTAATCTTCTTCCCTATAGATGACACCAGGACATATTCTCTTAGTAAAATAATACCAAGTGCATAAACTTATCTAAGTGAGCAGGAATTTATTACTATATAGGTGATGCATGTCAGGTGGTCTCCTGAATAATATTTATATCCTACATCTATCACCACTTACATAGTCATTATTTAAATGCCTCTTTCAAACTAGGCTTCCCAATCCCAGAACTATATGCAATATTTCATTTGGTCAAATTTGGTTTGTTTTCATATGGCCAAAACTTAGAAAAATATTTACCAATTAAAAGAGATGTAGATGACAGCTTCTAATGTATCTCTCTCCCCCTTTATAATAGCTCAAGTCTCTGTCTGAGCAATGAGCAATGGACCAATTACATTCCTGATTTCCTCCACAAAGGTAATAAATAAAGGCTTGCTTCCAAACCTAGCTAAAAACTAACCTTCTAAATTAAATTTCCCTCCAGTGAAGGATGGTTAGGTAATAAAGGCAATGGCACTGAAGAAGTCACTGAAATTTGGCATGGTAAGACAGGGAATGTGAGTGGGACACCCCTTTAGGACCCCATACACATAACAAGGCAGCAAGACTTTTATACAAAACCAAGAATGTTTTAAGGTTTTTAACAAAAACAAAATGCAACTATACTTATTACCTAATAAGTATAATCCTGCCTGTGTGTATTTCATACACTAAAGGCCATTTTGTGGTTCTATGGTCGGTTTTTCCAAAGTTTTCTAAACTCCTTTTTTGAGGACATTTCCCACACTGCTCTGTGGAGACGTTCCAAGACACAAAGCCAGTGTGCTCACTCTTCTCAAAGTGAGGTGTCAGGCCACCCAGCATGGGGTCCTTCAGCAGTACATGGGGACGTGGGCTCTGGCTTCTTCAGGTACTGTGGACCACGGCCCCTGGGTTAGCAGCACCGCCGGCTGGCTTGCGTGCCCGCCTTCCCCAGTTTGATTGCTCCACTGTTTCCATTTTCATGGGGGTCCAAGGGTGGGATCCGGCGGCCTGGAGGAAAAAGGAGGCCAAGGTTGAATTCCTTCACATCAGCTTAACGTTTGGGTTGCACAAAAAATAGAGGAACTCCTCCCAGAGTGGCTTTTTGTTTCCTTCCCCTCACCCTTCTTTCTTTCCTAGCTCTGCTGCATGAAGTCTTGTTCATGTTTAGAAAGGTAGGGGCCTGGTCAGGAACTACAAGCAGCTTCCTGACTTCCTGGACCAGCAGTGTGGACTTCTTGGCCTGGGAAGACCTGCTCCTGGGGGGCAGTCCCACCCCTTGCTGCTCAAACCATCACCCAGTTATTGTCCTGGTTAAAACAGAGATGAGAACTGCTCACTGATCAATACAGGAGTTCCTATGTTAACGCCATTGTTGGCACAACTTACTTTACATGCCTCTTCAGTTGTCATGATGCCTGCCTCTAAAAGGTGCTCAAATTAAGAAACAAACTTTATATATATATAGATAGATCAAAGTGGCATAAGTATACTGAAAAATCTATACCAGAAACTAAGAGCATATAAAGAACAAAACAGGATGCCAGGGAGGACTGTCCACACCCTCCCTCCCTCCTTCCTCTCATTTCTCTCCTAAGGAGACAACAAGCAATAGTGTTTGGGAAGCAAAACCGAGAAAGGCCTGGTCCCTTCTCAGGGAGACCCTGCTTCATGTTTAAACCCCCAGCGGCATTTCTGAGTCAGATGTTGAGCCTGGCTCTAAGTTATTTAAAATCTCTGGGCCTTTCTTTCCTCATCTATAAAAAGAATATGATGTGCTTACTTTGGTAGCACATATACCAAAATTGGGATGGTACAGAGAAGATTGATAATAAAATTAAAAACAATAAAATATAAAGATATGGGAAAGGAATGTGACAACTATGCAATATATACTTGGCCACTGTTAATCTGGGAGGACCTGATGCCTGGCATGCATGTCCAGCAGAGGCGGGCACAGAGGCCTGAGCGTGGCTTAGTGGTTATGCATGGGGAGGAGAAGGGCCAGGGCTCACCTTCAGGGTGGATTCTTGGAGTTAGTTAGTAGCTGGGGACCCACCCTGCTTATCTATAAAACTCTCAGTGTGGGATGAGTCACACAAATTTGAATTTCAAACATGGTGAGAGTTAAGGACCAATGAACTTCCACTTTAAATCAGAGACACAGGAAAGCCAAGTAATAACAAGGAGGAAGCACCTTAAAAAAAACTGGAAGCAAGATGCCTGTGAAACTAGTAGACAGCTCAAATCCTGTGGCCTAAGGTATTCAGAACATGCTGAAAGATTAAATGTACTTACACAAAAGAATGGTGTTAGAAAACAGCCAGGGCATCTTTTACCAAAGTGATCACCTTGGGACGCTGTCGCAAACAGAGCTCTGAAAGGGCTCTGACCATTGTCTGTAGCTTCCACTGTTACAAGATGTGCTCTAAGAACACAACCTCCTAACAAGTTGTCCTTGCATAAATTCTAGGCTAGAGTGTTTATTTTAATATGGTTTAGATTGCATAACATTCTGTTTAGGAGACGTTAAAAAGACTTTTTTTTTTGAACTTCAGTTTTCTTGCAGTTGACAGTCTAGAGAAAAAGCAGGTTTTATAAATGATTCCTCAGGAATGCAGTATGGGGAAACAAATTGCAAGCTACCAATTTCATCATGGCTGTAATGCATTTACCCATAACGAAAATAAAACAGCAAGCCCTGCAGCAGCTGCTCCCTCTCCTCGTGTGGTGGACCAGCCACTTCCTGCGCCAGCTTCAACTCCTCCCTGACAATTCTGCTGTTTGGATTCCTCCATCCTTTCACTCCAGTTCCAGGGCTTATTTGGCCTGTCCTTTGTCTGGTGTTAGTAGTACTGGCAGTTGCTACGTAACTTCCATTTCTTGATCCTGATTTTCTGAATCATCGAGATTCAGAAACTGACTAAGTTTGTTAGGGCTTGGCAGTATTTGCTCTTGATAAGGATCTCTAAGACTCTCCATTCAGAAAGGGGGGGCTCTCTGGAACTGCAGTGACTCACCATCCTGAAACACTGCCCCAAGAATGCAGAATTGTAGGGAGGGCACTTGAGCTTACTCCCTGTAACTGTTCTTTTGCTGTTGTAAAGAAATAATGTCAAAATTACTGGAAGATCTTGACTATTCTG